TGTACTTCATGTACCTGCTCAAACCTATTCTTTATTGCCCTACTTATACTTCCAAGAATCTGTTCATGGATTCCTGGTAGGCAGTTGGCCCATGACCTTTTTTACTGCGCAAACAGATCTTGTGTATTTGGTGATAAGTTAGCAGAGTACTTGCAAGTAACATATTACAAGATTAGCAGACTCTTACCTCCAGCCACCTGTAGCTTGAACTCACTTGGCTTCTGATATATTCTGGTTTTCCATGCATGGAGTATGTGACAGATTATGGCGCATGTTAACAAGACACTAGTTGTATTAATTTGCCTCCAAAACTTGGAATAGACAATATTGTGTGTTGGCTTATCAATGAAGTATATACCATAGATTGCCTCTGAAATATGTGGCATAATGAATCCCAATGTTAGATTCTGCATCGAGCTCAGTCACAATAGTGGTTACTCTGGAATAGCTGAGGGAGTACAAATAACTTTGTACTTTGTTATATGGCACATGAACCTGTCCCATTTGAGCACATAATCAACCTTACATATGATCGCAGTGGCATGTTCTGATAGTTCATTTAACTTGATAATATTATTCTTTATATGGTATACAAACTGTGTTTGTATCCTGGAATGCTTTTGTCTGACGTGTACATATTAGTACCACATACTGCATTATATTATATTTTATCAGTGTTAGGAATACTGGGATCAGATACCTAGGAATTACCCTAAGTAGGGTAACTCCACCTGGAATTGGAATCCCTGGTCTCTAACACTACCCTCTAGTCCCCTTACTTAGCCTGCACTTTATTATACATATCAGTCTCAGTTGCATCCTGTGACCATAATGCCACAGAATTGAAGGTATCTGAATAACATCTTATACATCAGTGACTTTTGTCCAACCAGATCCTGTTTGCAGAGTATATGAGAGGAGATATTTGACTAGGTCTGGTAGGTAGAATGGGCTAAATCTATCAACTACCCACAGAGCTACTAGGCTTCAAAGATGTAATATCTTAAGTATGGGCTGTAAGTAACGTGACATGTTAGTAACAAGAGATTGTATTGAATGATAAAAGATCTCAGGGAGAATTCTATACATTTGCATTCACTCTACAATAAGCAGAAGAGTCTATAATTGTGGAGGGACACTATCATTGAAGTTAATGTACTTCAAGCGTTGTTAGAAAAAATAGGTTTTTGATTACGTTGTAGCGGTAGGGATGACTTCCAATACTACAATTACGATTGAAACCACGTTACCCAGAGCAAACAAGAGTTACCGACAGAGGATTTATTTGTCCATTTGGTGGA